TCATGGAACCAAGAGTAATAGTTGGTTCCGTTCAATTTCAGAAGTGATTTGCCAGTATGAATAGTGAACCAGTCAAACTGAGTCATCTACCGAAGGAGTAAGTTGCCATAATACACCCAAAAACAAGGATTGAGTAGTAGGGAACAAATCGCCACAAATGGAAGCTTCAACCAGCCACTGATCACCCAACCAAGGAGCACAAACCAGTACCCAACCAATCACGTAACAAAGAACAACCAGTCACCAACAACACAACGAAACACAACAGATCCACAACCTACTCAAATGAAAAAAAAGAAAAAAGAAAAATCTTTTTGTCAGAAATTCAGAAAGCCCAATTACCCGATGGAAGGAATCACACCATAGGCCTTCAAACACAACACATAATCCAAAAAAGAGCCAAACTGAGGCCACTGGTAGAGTACCGATTCTCGAACAATCCCCCAAACAGTGGCTGAAACTAGATTTGGGCCAAACCACGTCACAAACCAACCAAATGTAGGGCATCACACAGGAGGATTACCCCAACCAAATCGCATCCCTCTACTTCTGATTGAAGCAACAAACACCACAAATTAGCCCTAAATCAACAAATCAGAAAAATAGGCCCTATTTTTGCAAAAAACATTGAAAAATCGCAAACCCTAATCAAATGATCTCAAAAAAATAAACAAAAATCACCAATATTACTATATAAAATATCCCAGGTGGGTGAGTTTTGATGATTGGAAGCTGATTATGCCATGCCGATGTTAGCATGATGTCACCACTTACAATGACGTTAGCGACCAGAAAATTCTTCCCAAGCCTTCTATGATATTTTCATGATGATATGTAATGTTGGATTGATGCTCTGATGCAAGTTAAAACGTAAAATAATAGTGTTGTAGTAGAAGAAAGAGAGAAGAAGATGGACAGAGATAAAGAGAATGAGAATAATTTGTGTGTAGTGCTGCGCTACACCCTCTTATTTATACTAGTTGATGTACACGTATATTGTACGTGAACTATTTTCAATACAAAATCCTATATATTTAAAACTGTGAACCATTAATCTGAAAATACACATTTTTTATAAACATTGACAAATAATTAAAAAAAGAACTCAGTTCTATAAGAAACTCCAAAAAAAATACTATCTAACATAACATTTCAAGTTGGGTGTAAATGCATCTTGTGCATTCCACCATATATTTTAGATTTTTGTAGTTTTGGTAACATTCTTGTTTGCAAGATACTCCATTTTGAAGTTCTCACAGCATGATTGGAGAAACATCAAGAAGCGCAGAAGCAATAATTTTACCCAATGAACCTAAAGCAACAATTATATGCAAGTAGACAACTTTCCACTCAGTAAAATGGGATGATTATGTTCACGGTTCTGTTAAAATATATATGAATTTATCAAAATTGGCAAGTACCCAGACGAAATTGGCGACTTTGAAGACTTCTATTCACCCATTAATACATGGACTTTGTTCAATGTTCATGTAAGGTTATTTTTTTCCTCCATTTGCAATAAGCAGACTTCAAAAGGACACGACTTATTTTTCATGAATTTTCTAGATTAATTAAGCTAAAATTAGAGTGTCTTCCATGAAAAAAATCAGAAACAACATTTCCTACTTTTCCATTTTAACAAACATTTTAGTCATCTCAGATCAATGTTAGTAGGATCTATTGAGTAATTTCAAAGAAAGTTCCAACCTAAACAGTATGTGATAAAGATTTGTCTTGGAAAACAGTATGTGATAAAGTTTATCATTAGACAAATGATAAACTCTGGCTCTTAATTCAAATCTCCAAGGATGGCAAAAATANACAGTATGTGATAAAGTTTATAATTAGACAAATGATAAACTCTGGCTCTTAATTCAAATCTCCAAGGATGGCAAAAATATCAATTCCACTAATATTAGATTCACTACAGTTCGCACAAAACATACTTCTTGAACAACATGCACCTTAGCATTTTTATCTCACATAGCAAATCAATATGTACTAATATTGGATTGCTCATGAAATCTTTACCACAACTAATACCTACACATTCTAACACCCACATTCTCCCATCCAAATACAATGATTATTGTCAAAACCTTATCTTAGCTACTTGGGGTCGGTTAATAAACTTAAAACTGATAAATAAGAAAAATAGTTTAACCCGTAAAGTGGCAAATAATCACCAAAGTTGAATAGTATTCACTCATTATCTTTTTATTATCAGCAAGTTTTAGTTTTAAATGAGCAATGGTAGAGAGCCAAAATGCAAAGAAATTATTGGATCGATGAGATCACTGAATTTTTTTTAATGGACCCACTCATTCAAGGGTCCTTGCTTATTTGAGATCTTATTTAGGATCCCAAATTAGTATTTTTCATACTATATTCCTCAAGAAAATTTCATGATGACTGGCATCTATCCAGCACAGTCCAAACACCCTAATACTTTACCCCCTGCTTCTACAAATAAAATCTTACAAACTGAACACATAGCATTAATAAACAACAATTATCAGCATGACTATATGCTGCGTCCAAAGTAAACTGACTGCAAGGGTTCTTTGATTGCAATCTCAACTTCGTTTTTACGATAACATTTGTTCTTCTCATCCATCAATTCATTTGAATACTCCTTTTAAATTTTTGAGTGTGTACTGATGACTTAGTTGGTACTATTAAATTTTGACCATATGAATATCATTCATAATTTCACCAATTAAGGTTTCCCTTATATTTTGGACTTCATCTGTTCTTAATTTCTCTTGCAAGATCGTATCGACTTTGGATTGAAATTAATGTTATTGTATTATACGTTGGCCAGACTTGTAATAGCATTATATGACCACATTTTACTAAAACACCTAAATATCACCAATAATCCCTTTGGTTTTTAGCAGCTGAAAAAACATAAAAAAAATAGCAACCGTGACCACATGCTTATATTTGCAAGACAGAGGTGCCATCTAAATGACCCCTAGGCATCAGAAAGTAAAAAAAAAAAAAAAAAAATCTTAATAGCACACGCATTGTACCTCATTATTTTACACATCTTAAATTCCGTTTCACCTAAATTACTTGTAGATTGATTTAGCTATGTGAGCAACCATGTTTCCATACATCCACAATAAGAATACTAAAGCATCAGAGATAACCATAAAGTTCAAAGGCTTAAAACTGAAACATATACATGCTTTCATTATTCTTCTTAACTTTTGTGAATTTCTAACTACATATAATTGTTTTATGCACATGCACACACACAAAATAGATCAGCTGTATCTTAAAATCCGTAAACATATGCTTATGTACAATTACAGCCTCACAATCACCATAATGTTGCACTCATCAATCAACACATTACCACATTACAAGCAAGTCTCCTTGGAGGAGGATGTGAAAATGGTGAAAAGGTCATGAAAAAGTGGAAAAGGCTTTGGGATTGATCCAATCTCTATATTTCTCTGATTACCATCCAGAAGTTTTTATATGAGATGATAAAAAACTATGCACTTTAATGTGTCAGAAAATAGGATCGATGAAGTGTTCCCTATTTACAGGCAAAATTCGATGAATGAATGGAAGCACAACCCATTAAAATTTGCTCATGAAGATTATGGTGAATTGTAAAACATGCTACATAGAATTGTAAAATAGAGAATATAGGAAGCCGCAAAAAGAAGGGAGAAAAACTATAAAGAGAAAAGAAAGCAAATAGCTTTAGAAAAATTANCCCATTAAAATTTGCTCATGAAGATTATGGTGAATTGTAAAACATGCTACATAGAATTGTAAAATAGAGAATATAGGAAGCCGCTAAAAGAAGGGAGAAAAACTATAAAGAGAAAAGAAAGCAAATAGCTTTAGAAAAATTAGAACCCAAAGAAAGCAACACGATATACAGGATGTTTTTATCAGAAGATCGAACAGTTCCTATAAATTAATAAAAAAAGAAAAGTTCACACGATATATCATAAAAACAAAGGGTGTACCTCATAGAAGAATTTTTCATAATTTCTAAGCATTAGAGAGTTCTTAGGATTTGCCTTCAAAATCTCTTGTGCTCGTGTTTATCGCTATCGGTACCGCCATGATAAAAAGAGGGACATATCAAATATGTATAGAAGAGAGCAACTAGAAGGAGGGAGAATCTGGAAGAGTTCATAACTGACCGAAGATTGAAATCATAGCAGCAGAATCGATAGAGTTTTTTTTTGCTTTCTAACATATGAAAGAAATAAGTTCTAGCTGTATAATGAATGCTTATATATATTCAGTGCATTTTGAAGAATGATAAAATTGGTATTGTAGAGTTTATTAAAAATACATTAAGAAAATAAAAGTTTTTCATCCTAAGCCACTTTTATAAGCAGTATAGAAATAGATTAAACAATATCTTGGATAATTACAAGATTACCCTACACTAGCTTATAAATATAAAACATAAAAAAATAAGAACTCTAACATAAATATTCAGCTTTTATGATCCATGGACTTCCTTGCTTGAGTCTTGGCTTAGATGTCCATAAGCGAAGACTTCCTCGGGTTATCAGTCAAGTGAAATGCATGTGACTAATTCTATTAGAGATTTTAATCGCTATTTCCGAATGGAACAATTAGACTTAAAATGGAAACTTGAGGGACCAAAGTTATATTGAAACGAATGGGGACTAAACTGGTACAAACCGCATATTTGGGGTACCAAAAGTATAGTTTGCCCAATCGGAGTTAGGAATAAGAAGCTATTTCCCTGAATTACTAAGAATTTCTGTTAAGTTTGCAAAAATTCATGTTTTGGGCGACATAATGGGAAATATAATTCAAGAACTGATATCAGAAGTTTAATGGATGCCCTTTTATTTGCCTTACGTTTGGAAAGTCTTAGTGTTATTTCACACCCTCAATTGTTCTAATAGTTTGTGCGGAACGTCTTGGTAGTGTCATTTCACACCTTTACTTGTTCTAATACTTTATGCTTGCTTCGATGTAGTGTTACATACATGCGGCTGGATGGATCAGTTGAATCAGAAAAGCGTTTTGAAGTTGTGAAGGCCTTCAATTCTGACCCGACCATTGATGTTCTTCTGCTTACGACACATGGTAAAATTCTTTTGTTTGCACTGTAAAGATTTGGCTTACTGAGAAAGAAACATGCTGAGACTGGTGTTTTGCTTATCTATAATCATTTTTGCAGTTGGTGGGCTTGGTCTGAACCTGACATCAGCTGACACCCTTGTTTTCATGGAACATGACTGGAATCCAATGCGGGATCATCAGGTGTATAGATTTTAATTTTACCTTTGTTGTCTGTGGCCTGTTCATTCATGGTAGCAACTTTTTGTCATGAATTCGTTCGTTCTTACTTATCCTTTGGTGTAGCACAATCAAGAAAACAAGATTATTTCAACCAAATGTCCTAGTCAACCTCATTGAAAATTAGTCAGTTTTGAGTATTACTAGAATTTATTGGCTTTAACTTTCCATGAGTTAGAGGCCACTGATGCAATATGTAGAAGGACTGTACCACCTTGTCTTTTCATGCTTGTTAACTAGTAACTTAGTCCCTTGGAAGCTTGGGTTGTTTTTTCATTCATCATATGACTTGAGTGGTGTTTGATAAAACTACAAATTGAGTACTGAAAACTAAATGTTAAATTTTAAGTGCCGAATGTTGAATTTTTTAATTCGTAAACTTTTTGGTATTCACTAAAATTTAAGTACTTAATTGAATCAATCTATTTGACAAATACAAGAAGTTGAATTACAAAAATTATTATTATTCTAATTTTATACCTCTTTTTTATCATCTCATTGCAACTACTTTATTTCAACAATCACCATCACTATTATTCATTACTGCCCTTACTAGATCAAATATGACACCTACGAACCGCTAAAGAGAGTTTCTCTCTCCCTCTCCCCTATGCTTTAAAGCAAAGCGGGACTTGTTTCGCTCTTTCGTCTTGGCTTCCTACTAGAATGCCTCCTTGGTTGAAGAGCCCCAAAACTAGTTAGGGCGCAAGAAGTCAAAAAACTTGCGCGATGGACATTTTCTTCTTTTCCCTCTCTTCTCCAAAGGCCAAGGGAGAGACTGCAGCCGTTTCCTTCTGTAGCTCTTTACTTTTCCAAGGATAGCGGNAATGCAATATGTAGAAGGACTGTACCACCTTGTCTTTTCATGCTTGTTCACTAGTAACTTAGTCCCTTGGAAGCTTGGGTTGTTTTTTCATTCATCATATGACTTGAGTGGTGTTTGATAAAACTACAAATTGAGTACTGAAAATTAAATGTTAAATTTTAAGTGCCGAATGTTGAATTTTTTAATTCGTAAACTTTTTGGTATTCACTAAAATTTAAGTACTTAATTGAATCAATCTATTTGACAAATACAAGAAGTTGAATTACAAAAATTATTATTATTCTAATTTTATACCTCTTTTTTATCATCTCANGATGCAATATGTAGAAGGACTGTACCACCTTGTCTTTTCATGCTTGTTAACTAGTAACTTAGTCCCTTGGAAGCTTGGGTTGTTTTTTCATTCATCATATGACTTGAGTGGTGTTTGATAAAACTACAAATTGAGTACTGAAAACTAAATGTTAAATTTTAAGTGCCGAATGTTGAATTTTTTAATTCGTAAACTTTTTGGTATTCACTAAAATTTAAGTACTTAATTGAATCAATCTATTTGACAAATACAAGAAGTTGAATTACAAAAATTATTATTATTTTAATTTTATACCTCTTTTTTATCATCTCATTGCAACTACTTTATTTCAACAATCACCATCACTATTATTCATTACTGCCCTTACTAGATCAAATATGACACCTACGAACCGCTAAAGAGAGTTTCTCTCTCCCTCTCCCCTATGCTTTAAAGCAAAGCGGGACTTGTTTCGCTCTTTCGTCTTGGCTTCCTACTAGAATGCCTCCTTTGTTGAAGAGCCCCAAAATTAGTTAGGGCGCAAGAAGTCAAAAAACTTGCGCGATGGACATTTTCTTCTTTTCCCTCTCTTCTCCAAAGGCCAAGGGAGAGACTGCAGCCGTTTCCTTCTGTAGCTCTTTACTTTTCCAAGGATAGCGGTAGTTGGGGCGAAGTAGCAACAGTAGCAAAGTGCTAGTTGCTCTGCAACTATTGATAGTGACTCTTGATCCAATGCTAGTTGAAAATACACACATCTCTATCTTCACTACCACCACTCCACCTTCACCTTTTCTATAATTCCACCATGGTTGTTATTTGATGCCTCCTCTAACACCACCGCCCCATCATTCGTTGTCACCTACTCAAGGATTGAAATATCGTTTCGAAGTACCATTTCGGTCAGCTCAAATACATAAATATTTTGGAAAAACAGAAAAAATATAAAAATATGTGAAAACACAAATACAATCCATTTATTTATAAAGATAAGTTTAATAATTGATTAATTCAACATATTTATTTGGTTAACATCCATTTATATAGGAATAAATTTAAACTGGAGGGGAAAAAAAAAGGATTAACGTGAGGCGGAAATCACTTAAATATGACATGTATAACACTTTTAAATTAAAATATTATTTAATTAATAATAATATTTTATTGTAATACTAATTTAGNAATGCTTTAAAGCAAAGCGGGACTTGTTTCGCTCTTTCGTCTTGGCTTCCTACTAGAATGCCTCCTTGGTTGAAGAGCCCCAAAACTAGTTAGGGCGCAAGAAGTCAAAAAACTTGCGCGATGGACATTTTCTTCTTTTCCCTCTCTTCTCCAAAGGCCAAGGGAGAGACTGCAGCCCTTTCCTTCTGTAGCTCTTTACTTTTCCAAGGATAGCGGTTGTTGGGGCGAAGTAGCATCAGTAGCAAAGTGCTAGTTGCTTTGCAACTATTGATAGTGACTCCTGATCCAATGCTAGTTGAAAATACACACATCTCTATCTTCACTACCACCACTCCACCTTCACCTTTTCTACAATTCCACCATGGTTGTTATTTGATGCCTCCTCTAACACCACTGCCTCATCATTCGTTGTCACCTACTCAAGGATTGAAATATCGTTTTGAAGTACCATTTCGGTCAGCTCAAATACATAAATATTTTGGAAAAACAGAAAAAATATAAAAATATGTGAAAACACAAATACAATCCATTTATTTATAAATATAAGTTTAATAATTGATTAATTCAACATATTTATTTGGTTAACATCCATTTATATAGGAATAAATTTAAACTGGAGGGGAAAAAAAAGGATTAACGTGAGGCGGAAATCACTTAAATATGACATGTATAACACTTTTTAAATTAAAATATTATTTAATTAATAATAATATTTTATTGTAATACTAATTTAGTAATTAATAATATTAACACTTCGTGCAACATGTTATTATAATACTAATTTGTGTAGCATATTATTATAATACTAATTTATTAATTTAAATTGCGTCTTCAAATTAATAAATAATATTATTTCATTAATATTAAAATTATTGTATACACAATTTATACACACATAAATATTTAATTCTAGATATTTAAAAGTAATGTATAATTAATAAAATGACTTGTAGGTATTTAATATACCATTTTAACAAATAATAATAACATAAAAGAATACTTACAAAAAGGAAAAAAAATAATGAAGGGTATTAACTAAAATTAATGGTACTTATGTATACTTAAAAATTAAAAGTTATAATGAAGTGGGGTATTAAATGTAATTTTTTATAGTTATAACAAAAAAAAAATACAAAAGTCAGAAGACTCTCAAAGAGTCAGTCGTGTCTCTTTCTCACCCACGAACACAGATAGAAAGAAGAGAGAAAGGAGATGAAGATAGCGATGGGCGGTGCCGATGCCGGTGAGAGAGAGAAAGATGAAGAAGATACTTGGTAGCTCGTGGGTCGCAGCTCGCAACGATGAAGACCTAAGTCCCAAGTCTTAGATCTGCGTGGCTAGGGGCTAGATCTGCTCAAATCTAGACTCAAAGAGGTAAGTTACTGAACTCTTTTCCTTCAATTTCATCTAGGTGTGTCTTTCTCTCTCTTCTCTCTGTTTTTTTTTTTTGCTTGGAAGACCTGGACCTTTGATCTCTATTTTTTTCCCTTTTTTGGGGCTTGGAGGACTTTGGCCTGGAGTGCTATTGAATGTTTCGTCGAAACGGTACTGTTTTGTCTGAAACGGTCCGACACAGTGACGTTTTGACCGAAACTTTGGAATTTTAGGATTCAAGCCATATTTCGTTTTGGTGTGTTGAAAATCCGAAACGTTTCGGACAAATTGACACGACATTTCGATCGTTGCCTACTCTGATACTATCGACATCATCATCATCCTTTCACCATCACCAAGACTACAACCAACCCACCACCACTCAATACCACCACCTTTATCACCCAACCACAACTACACCCACTACTATTGCCAAAACCTACTACCTCTATGTAACCATCGTTACTACCACCATGGTGGTTGGAGTGGATAGTAGTAGTCAGACTGGTGGTGACAATAATTGTAGTGGGGTAAGGGTGAGGGTGAGCGGTGGAACAGGGTGCTGGTGATGGNATTGTTCTAATAGTTTGTGCGGAACGTCTTGGTAGTGTCATTTCACACCTTTACTTGTTCTAATAGTTTATGCTTGCTTCGATGTAGTGTTACATACATGCGGCTGGATGGATCAGTTGAATCAGAAAAGCGTTTTGAAGTTGTGAAGGCCTTCAATTCTGACCCGACCATTGATGTTCTTCTGCTTACGACACATGGTAAAATTCTTTTGTTTGCACTGTAAAGATTTGGCTTACTGAGAAAGAAACATGCTGAGACTGGTGTTTTGCTTATCTATAATCATTTTTGCAGTTGGTGGGCTTGGTCTGAACCTGACATCAGCTGACACCCTTGTTTTCATGGAACATGACTGGAATCCANGGATTAACGTGAGGCGGAAATCACTTAAATATGACATGTATAACACTTTTTAAATTAAAATATTATTTAATTAATAATAATATTTTATTGTAATACTAATTTAGTAATTAATAATATTAACACTTCGTGCAACATGTTATTATAATACTAATTTGTGTAGCATATTATTATAATACTAATTTATTAATTTAAATTGCGTCTTCAAATTAATAAATAATATTATTTCATTAATATTAAAATCATTGTATACACAATTTATACACACATAAATATTTAATTCTAGATATTTAAAAGTAATGTATAATTAATAAAATGACTTGTAGGTATTTAATATACCATTTTAACAAATAATAATAACATAAAAGAATACTTACAAAACGGAAAAAAAATAATGAAGGGTATTAACTAAAATTAATGGTACTTATGTATACTTAAAAATTAAAAGTTATAATGAAGTGGGGTATTAAATGTAATTTTTTATAGTTATAACAAAAAAAAAATACAAAAGTCAGAAGACTCTCAAAGAGTCAGTCGTGTCTCTTTCTCACCCACGAACACAGATAGAAAGAAGAGAGAAAGGAGATGAAGATAGCGATGGGCGGTGCCGATGCCGGTGAGAGAGAGAAAGATGAAGAAGATACTTGGTAGCTCGTGGGTCGCAGCTCGCAACGATGAAGACCTAAGTCCCAAGTCTTAGATCTGCGTGGCTAGGGGCTAGATCTGCTCAAATCTAGACTCAAAGAGGTAAGTTACTGAACTCTTTTCCTTCAATTTCATCTAGGTGTGTCTTTCTCTCTCTTCTCTCTGTTTTTTTTTTTTTGCTTGGAAGACCTGGACCTGTGATCTCTATTTTTTTCCCTTTTTTGGGGCTTGGAGGACTTTGGCCTGGAGTGCTATTGAATGTTTCGTCGAAATAGTACTGTTTTGTCCGAAACGGTCCGACACAGTGACGTTTTGACCGAAACTTTGGAATTTTAGGATTCAAGCCATGTTTCGTTTTGGTGTGCTGAAAATCCGAAACGTTTCGGACGAATTGACACGACATTTCGATCGTTGCCTACTCTGATACTATCGACATCATCATCATCCTTTCACCATCACCAAGACTACAACCAACCCACCACCACTCAATACCACCACCTTTATCACCCAACCACAACTACACCCACTACTATTGCCAAAACCTACTACCTCTATGTAACCATCGTTACTACCACCATGGTGGTTGGAGTGGATAGTAGTAGTCAGACTGGTGGTGACAATAATTGTAGTGGGGTAAGGGTGAGGGTGAGCGGTGGAACAGGGTGCTGGTGATGGTGGTTGCGATGGGGTGGTGGTCGTGAAGAAATGATAGTTGTGTTGGTGATGGTGGTTAGTTGGTTGGTGGTAACGGCAGGGTGGTGAAATGGTATATAAGCATGGTGAAGGCAATATCGGAGGTGGGTAGGTGGTGATGATGAGAGTGAAGGTAGGAGGTGGTGGCAGGGTGAGTACTAATTGTGGGCGATGGTGGTGGGCTAGCAGATATGGGGGCAAAGGTAAAGGTGGTAGTGGTAAGATGGCAATGGTGGTGGTGTTGATAGTAATGACAACAACGACGACGGTGGTGGTGGCATGGTTGTAGTAGTAGAGGTGGTGGTGGTACCAATGGTGGCGGCAGCGACAGTCGTGATGGTGGCAGTGGCAACGGTAATGGTGGTGGTGATGATAGTGGCGACATCGGCTGCGATAGTGGTGGTGATGTGGATGGTTCAACAATGGTGGTGATGGTGTGGGGCATCAATAGTAGTGGTGGTGGTGGGACAAAGATGGGTGATGGTTGGAGGGTAGCAGTGGTACTGGTGGCAACAATAACGATGGTCATGGTGGGTGCTGGCGGCAATGGGGGAGGTGGTGGCGGGGTGGCAAGTAGTGATGATAGTGGTGATGGTGGGTGTTCGAAAATTAGTGTTAAATTGATTGAGATCAAATTACTTGAGAATAAACTTGTCCATTATGTGAAGTTTATAATATTCTTAATTTCTTACTAGTATTTCAGCATTAAGTGAAAAGTAAGTGACTTGCTACTTAGTATTTTAATCTTATTTTTAAGATGTGATTAAAATTTTAAGTAGTGTGAGTTTTGGTTATCAGACGCACTTAATTGAAAAATTGCAGAATGTTTTCAGGCTTAAGTGCTGAATTAAGTTATCAAACACTTGTATCTGTCAATCACCCCCCCCACCCAAAAAAAAAAAAAAACACCCCAACAACAACAAAAACAGTGAAGTCCCTCTGAAATAGTTGCTCCTGATTGACTATTGCTTCTAGTTGTTGCTTAATTGCATAGTCAATTCGTTTGGACTCTCATGCATCCATCCACACGCATGTGCACAAGCACATGAATGTACACACGGGATGAGATTTTATTACCTTCACTTGCTTCTTGAGAGCATGTAGTTTTTGTGTTTGTTTCCTAGAGGATTGCATGAATGAATGGCGATTTTATCCTCTATATTCTCTTGCAACGAATTTGTTATCTTTGTTACACATTTTCAGGCAATGGACAGAGCGCACAGATTAGGTCAGCGAAAAGTTGTTAATGTTCATCGTCTCATAATGCGAGGAACCCTGGAAGAGAAAGTAATGAGCCTCCAGAAGTTCAAAGTGTCAGTTGCTAATGCTGTCATTAATGCAGAAAATGCTAGTCTGAAAACAATGAATACAGATCAGTTGCTTGATCTATTTATGTCGGCTGAAAGCAAAAAGGTATTGTTCACTTCAGTTTCACAAGCCGGATTTTTTGAATGCACTATTTTACTTATACTTTTACTAACATAATCAAGGCAAAATTTATTATGTTTGAACCTTTTCCCCTTTATAAAATTGTTTTCCAGGGAGCTAACACATCGAAAATCTCTGATGAAAACTTTGATGGGCAACCAAAATTATCGGGTCGTGGAAAGGGGTTAAAAGCCATCCTCGGTGGCCTTGAAGAACTTTGGGATCAATCACAGTACAGTGAAGAATACAATTTGAGCAACTTCTTAGGCAAACTAAGTGGCTAAACCGTTGCTGAACATTCTGTGCACGTGGAAATTTTTGGATAATTACAATGCTTAAGAATACCGCCTGAGCCAGTTCTTAGTGAAGCTTAGCACTTGAACCTGAGCTGCACCATGTACAGTGTATATCTCTCAAGTCGGAGGCCAAGATTTTGACAATTTAGGAGTTCTCTCTCTCTCTCTCTCTCTCTGGAGGCCATGGGGAAAGATAGTTCCAGTGATGAGTGTCAGAGTGATGTTGGCCTGATTAAGTTTAAGCCCAAAATAGGATAGAAAAGAAAATTGGAATTTTTTGATTATGTATATACATTCATCATTATAAATTTAGTTCAGGTATTTTTTATGTCCTGTGGCATTTCTTAATGTTCTCTCTCTCTCTCTCTCCCCACCTATTCATGTTTTATTATATTCCCCCAACCCCTACCCGACGCCGACCTGTTGATCTCAATTTGGTCCTTTTGTTAGTTTTTTGTTATTCGTTCTGTTAACATCAATAGAGTGGATTTTTGATAGAATAAGCAATGGAATTTAACAAAAATGTCACATTAAAACATTTTAATACATTGAAGGTGTAACGTGAGAAATTTAAACTTTAAGAGTATAAAATGAGAAATTATAAATCTTTGAGGGTGTAAAGCGAGGTAATCCCTTTCTAATAAAATAGAGAGTTCTATTGGAGTTGTTGCAAAAATTTCACTCTATTTTAATTTTTCATCAAATATGCTCTTTATTTTTATAGAGATGTTCTTTAAAATAGAAAGAAATATTGAAAATGCTCTAAGTTTATAAAATTAAATTATAACTTCTTTAAATAAAATTACAGAGTTCTGTTGATATGATTGCTACCATTCTGGATCTACCCCAGCTACCCAATGATGCATATAGACATATGCAGTAAAATGTTCATTACTTGCAGTCGTGTTCGTAATGTGTGTGTAGAACTCCTGAACAATGTTTTCATTCGTTGGCCCTGGGTCACAAAGAGATGTGCCCACCCTTTTATCTCAAAATTCAAAAGAATAGTAGTATTCCTTACTTACCCAGTGAAGTTCACTCCTCTTTCTACCATTACCAGCCTCGATTAGTATTGTTGTCTTTACTGATCGCTATAATTTGGGTCCTGGAAGTGACTCCTCTCACCAAACAATCGTACTTGAGTTGGTGGAGGTATTTCCCAACCCAATCAGTGAATAGGTGCAAAGGCCAGTAAATATCAAGGATCTAAAGATGAAACCCACCTATAAACACACTCTGAGAAGTTTGAAGGAGGTAGGTTAAAGGGTTAGGCTTGATTGTGGAATGGAGTTATGTGAGTTAGAATGAAGTAAAACTAAATTTTAAGTCCTCAGATTCGACATTCTGCACTGGCGGCTCGAGCGATGTGAGGGTGGATCGAGCAGTACCAGAAGCCTTTCTGCACAACAACCAGAATTTCAGACCACTACAACTCAACAAATACTCCTCCACTTAACTCATTGTGCCTCAAAAATCATGCCTGAATGTATGCATAACTAAAATGCAACGAAATTCATATGCATTGATGAAATTATGATCTAAATGTAATGTAATTTCCAAATTAAACATTAAATGCACACAGTCATTAATAATGACAATCACACCAGTTCAAAACATAGAAGATCCATCCTTATTTTATCATTCTCACACATTACTCTTGGGGCATATTAATGAATGTAGAATTCAAATTTCATGCATCACACATTAAGTTTCTATCACTTAGTTCAATTTCACTCACACGTGTTTAAGTTTGCGTCTTTGATAACTGACAATCTAAGCACACTAGGGTAAAAGAGGCTTGGTTTAAAAATTATGCACTAACACTTATAACCACTAAGTTTTCTATTCCCTAATATGTCTCATAACAAGGCACTTCAACTTTGATTTAAGTATGGATACACTACAAAACATACCAAAGTGTGATTACCATGATTATCAATAGAAAAACAACAATAAAATCTTTTCAATTTTTTCTTGTATAATGTTTTTGCATTTTTTAAAAATATCCTAAAAATAGAAAATGTGCATAACATGCAATAACAAATGAAAAATAAAACATTTCCTAATAAATCCCAAATGGAAGTCCAACTAGATATCAAAAATCTATTTGGAGTTTCCCTTTATTTTTCTTTATTTTNTCTCTCTCTGGAGGCCATGGGGAAAGATAGTTCCAGTGATGAGTGTCAGAGTGATGTTGGCCTGATTAAGTTTAAGCCCAAAATAGGATAGAAAAGAAAATTGGAATTTTTTGATTATGTATATACATTCATCATTATAAATTTAGTTCAGGTATTTTTTATGTCCTGTGGCATTTCTTAATGTTCTCTCTCTCTCTCTCTCTCTCTCTCTCTCTCCCCACCTATTCATGTTTTATTATATTCCCCCAATCCCTACCCGACGCCGACCTGTTGATCTCAATTTGGTCCTTTTGTTAGTTTTTTGTTATTCATTCTGTTAAACATCAATAGAGTGGATTTTTGATAGAATAAGCAATGGAATTTAACAAAAATGTCACATTAAAACATTTTAATACATTGAAGGTGTAACGTGAGAAATTTAAACTTTAAGAGTATAAAATGAGAAATTATAAATCTTTGAGGGTGTAAAGCGAGGTAATCCCTTTCTAATAAAATAGAGAGTTCTNGGAGTATAAAATGAGAAAATTATAAATCTTTCAGGGTGTAAAGCGAGGTAATCCCTTTCTAATAAAATAGAGAGTTCTATTGGAGTTGTNAGAGTATAAAATGAGAAATTATAAATCTTTGAGGGTGTAAAGCGAGGTAATCCCTTTCTAATAAAATAGAGAGTTCTATTGGAGTTGTTGCAAAAATTTCACTCTATTTTAATTTTTCATCAAATATGCTCTTTATTTTTATAGAGATGTTCTTTAAAATAGAAAGAAATATTGAAAATGCTCTAAGTTTATAAAATTAAATTATAACTTCTTTAAATAAAATTACAGAGTTCTGTTGATATGATTGCTACCATTCTGGATCTACCCCAGCTACCCAATGATGCATATAGACATATGCAGTAAAATGTTCATTACTTGCAGTCGTGTTCGTAATGTGTGTGTAGAACTCCTGAACAATGTTTTCATTCGTTGGCCCTGGGTCACAAAGAGATGTGCCCACCCTTTTATCTCAAAATTCAAAAGAATAGTAGTATTCCTTACTTACCCAGTGAAGTTCACTCCTCTTTCTACCATTACCAGCCTCGATTAGTATTGTTGTCTTTACTGATCGCTATAATTTGGGTCCTGGAAGTGACTCCTCTCACCAAACAATCGTACTTGAGTTGGTGGAGGTATTTCCCAACCCAATCAGTGAATAGGTGCAAAGGCCAGTAAATATCAAGGATCTAAAGATGAAACCCACCTATAAACACACTCTGAGAAGTTTGAAGGAGGTAGGTTAAAGGGTTAGGCTTGATTGTGGAATGGAGTTATGTGAGTTAGAATGAAGTAAAACTAAATTTTAAGTCCTCAGATTCGACATTCTGCACTGGCGGCTCGAGCGATGTGAGGGTGGATCGAGCAGTACCAGAAGCCTTTCTGCACAACAACCAGAATTTCAGACCACTACAACTCAACAAATACTCCTCCACTTAACTCATTGTGCCTCAAAAATCATGCCTGAATGTATGCATAACTAAAATGCAACTAAATTCATATGCATTGATGAAATTATGATCTAAATGTAATATAATTTCCAAATTAAACATTAAATGCACACAGTCATTAATAATGACAATCACACCAGTTCAAAACATAGAAGATGCATCCTTATTTTATCATTCTCACACATTACTCTTGGGGCATATTAATGAATGTAGAATTCAAATTTCATGCATCACACATTAAGTTTCTATCACTTAGTTCAATTTCACTCACACGTGTTTAACTTTTGCGTCTTTGATAACTGACAATCTAAGCACACTAGGGTAAAAGAGGCTTGGTTTAAAAATTATGCACTAACACTTATAACCACTAAGTTTTCTATTCCCTAATATGTCTCATAACAAGGCACTTCAACTTTGATTTAAGTATGGATACACTACAAAACATACCAAAGTGTGATTACCATGATTATCAATAGAAAAACAACAATAAAATCTTTTCAATTTTTTCTTGTATAATGTTTTTGCATTTTTTAAAAATATCCTAAAAATAGAAAATGTGCATAACATGCAATAACAAATGAAAAATAAAACATTTCCTAATAAATCCCAAATGGAAGTCCAACTAGATATCAAAAATCTATTTGGAGTTTCCCTTTATTTTTCTTTATTTTTTTTTTGTTGTGTTTTTTCATATTGGAAAAGTAAAGTTAAGAAACAATGAAAAATATTTACAATGATGATCATAGGAGATATGTTGCAATGCATGACTATGTACCTAGGTCCACACTCTCAGCTCACGTATTAGGTGACTCAACCTCATTTTTATCCCTCGGGACTTCCAATTTGGTTAAAGTGGTGGGCATCTCAAAGTCCTTACTACTTACCCACACTTGTTTTCCCTTCCAATTTCTTAGGTTAGCACGGAGAATGAGTGGAGGACTCATTCTCTTACCTCTGAAAGTTTCCAAGTCAATTTTAACCTTGGGAGTAGAAGTAGTCTTGTTCATCCTAACTTGTGAGCCTTTAGGTGGTGAAGAATCTCTAGNATAGCCTTTCGTTGCCCTACCAAACGAAAGAAGTCACTCTAAAACTCGTGCTACTGAAGTACCAAAGCTATGCTTCGCTAGGTGACTAAGTAATGGGTTTGCGAACTATATCATTCAATCAAACACATAGTATGTGTGTGTGTGCTGCTGCAAGTGTGTTATGCAAAATAAAGAAATAAAAAAATTCACAACATAAGTAATTTCTTGATGTGGACACCTAACTCGGGAAAAACCACGGAACCGGTACCTGGTTCACCTAGTCTAATCCACTAACTCAAAGTCTACTTACAAGTACTCCAATATTATATCTCAACCGATTTT